GAAACAATGACGATCTCGTTAGAAGTGTGTTTTGGCTGGGATAATACTAGGATTGATGACTTTGTTGGAGCTCTCCGTGTTGCACCTGTCATTTCTTGGATGCGGAGTTAGTTTAGAGCAATAATAATTGTACTGAGAAGAGAATCATTGGTTCTAGACTGAGTTTTTTACTTAATGGTCAGCCTCTTAATAATGATAAGGCTTTAGGGAATCTCTATATATTTTGGTTTCTTTTCACAAATTGTAAAGCTGCAAAGGCTTCTTTTTATTTCAGTTGCCCTCCCTTGGTGCCTCATTAATATGGTTTCTCTCTTTTTGCTCTCAAATGATAATAATAAATGTCCTGAGAAGTTTTCTGGTAGAAGGTTAAGAATGGGGGAAAATCGTAAAAGAAAATTGTATTAATGCTTAAAGATGGAAGAGGTGTGCACGGGTAGCAACAATGTAGGTTTTGTAACGAGTTTGCTCCAAAACCTATCTGTCCACTTAGAAAAGCAGTTGGCGTCCTGAGGTTCTGTCGTGTGCAAGGTTAGCTTCAATCAATATCTTTGGAGACCGGCATTCAATTCATTCTATTACTCACTGTGTTGGTGCCAACCCTAACTATTGGCCGACAAGCTATATATATCTTTGGAGACCGGCATTCAATCCATTCTATTACTCCCTGCGTTGGTGCCAACCCTGACTATTGGCAGTGAAATCAGTGGTCTAGAAATGTTATCTAAAGACAGGCAGAAGGTCTCTCCTAGTTCCAAGGAAAGCCCTCAACCAAGACCCCCACGCCATTTACTTCCTATGGATTATCTTGGCTAACTATTTCATTAAATAAAGCCCTCGCTCCGAGAAAAGCTTTTCGTCTTTTTGGGGATCAGTTAAGGAAGGACCAGAAATCTCTGTATCTTATTCTCAGTTCTGAGAAAGCATAATTAAAGTACATTATTCGATTCGGGGGTTGGACTGGTACTAGCTACGGCATCTGATAGAGCAAAGGGGATCAATTCAATGGTGGAAGTTTGGCAGGCATTGATTGAAGCTACATCTGGAGATTCAGCGGTATCAGATTCTCTAATAGCAGAAGATTGGGAGATATCAGACTCCCCGGTAGCAGACTCTTTGGCACCGGACGATCAGACTTGTCAATCATTCGACTCTTTCTAGGGATTTACATCCTCATGTTGACTTTCCCCTTGCCATAGATTCAATATCAAATTTTAATCTTCAAATGCTTCGGGTGATTTTTCATTTCTTTGATATCAATTTTTTTCTCCTTTTTATCTTTTTTGTCATATGTAAAGAAACAAATACCGTACACCTTCATCATGTGCCATATCTTTAGGAAGTAAGTTTCATCTTCTTCAAAGTTCCAATAGCTTTCAACTTCTCTGAGGATCTTCTCTTCACGTATGTCAGTTTTTTCTATGACAAAAAGAAGCAACATGTGGAGGAGACAGGAAGAGAGAGGGAGAGGTGTTGAAAGGTTGAGTTGTTCGGCTATAGAGATTGAAACAAGTCTGCACATCTTCATATGACAGCTCTTACCTTATTCCTACGGTCAAAGTTGAA